GGCACAAAGAATAGATGTTGTTAAAAAGGCTTGTAAGACAAGTGCTACAAGCTCTGCTGATGCTGCTTAGTCACTTATTCGTGTCTGACACTCTATGACCCCATGGACTATATTCTGCCAGGCTCCTCTGTCCATGGGATTCTCCAGGCAAGAATACTGTAGTGGGTTCAGTTTCTCAAATGGCAATCTGAATGATATGGAGGTCATCTCATCTATCCAACAATGTTGTCCTCAATTCCTTTCTTCACATCAGAAGATCTTCAACTAAGCTAAAAATCAAAAGGTCTTGTGTTCTAGATTTAGAGCTATGTGTCTGTGGAGTGCATAGGTAAATTATTCCACTAAGGCTTCAGAATATTTCTTTCCCTCTGGCGACATAGTTTCACTTCAGCTTAGGGGAAAAGGCCTTTAAAAATTTCCCATCAGGTTCTGAACATCAATTTCCACATTTGGCCAATCTTTAATCAGAGGGCTACTCAAAAAAAAAAAAAAAATTTCCTTTGAATATCCCATTGGGATTCAACTGGACAAACAGTACATAGATATTTCTGGCAGTAAGTATTCAACAACTCCATGGGGGCAAGAACTATCCCCACAAAGTGCAAAATATATTATCCTCCCAAGATCCAGAGCTACTCCCAAAGATAACCAAAAGAAAAGAAAAAGGCTCAGATGATTCCCAGGAAAGCTGACAACAGGGATAGGACCCTACCACATGTAACAGTGCAACCCACACTTCCTCTCGGCTAAAATGTTTAGGTCTCTAAACTGGCTGTTGCCAAGTCAAGTTCCCAGGACAAGAGAGACAGGAATGCAATGGCTGTGCTTGAGAAACAAGGGATCTGCAGCCACCAGCTACTAAAATTCACAATGCAAAGATCTATTTCTTAAGAATGTTTTCTGCCTGCCAATTCAAATTCATAAAGGAAGGGAGAAAGTGAAATTTTACTTCCTCTATTAGCCAGGCACCACAGATGGAGATAGCGAAGAGAGAACCGACTTTGATAAGAATTCTTACCTTTGCTGGCTTCTGGCAGTTTTTCCAGGATCCTGTCTGAAAGCTCTGGAGTGAGCAGGGTGATCCAGTAGGTCCCATCTTGGTCATCTAAACTTTTAGAGGAGGAAAAATCATTTTCCCTCTATCTTTATGATGAGTTCTTGGCTGAGGTCCCCCTCCTCTTTTTCTAGATCACATCATACTTGATAAGATTATCTAGGTTACAAGTTTTCCACTGTGGCCACTGTGATTCAAGATTATCTTTGGTAAAGTTAGCCTGCTTGTCCAGCCCTAAAACGAAATTTTATTACCTGAGGCCTCATACTAGATACAATCCAACTTAACAGAGCCAGTCTGACTCTAGATTCAGTCCAGTTTCTAAGCTTGACCCAGTCCAATTGAAGTAGAATCTGAGAGGGACTTACTCACCAACTCCAGAGACAGCAAGAAAGCAGAGTTCAAGGGCTCAGCAGGTGTCCAATCTAGTTGCTTTTGCTTCTGGGGGCCTTTGGGATGGGGTGGGGGGGGGTCTCCTTCAGTTCCCTCTTCTCATACCAGAAATGTTAAAAGATAAACCGAGGAATATTAAAATTTTTAGGAACTTGTTTAAGCAAAAATCAGTTCAATTGAGTAGCATCACCCTTAGGAGATAGAAAGGAGCACCAAGTGGAAGTACAAAATATAGACACTTTTGTGGGCAGAAGGGAGCAGAAATAAGGAGGTTATATTAGGAAAACAGCATGCTTGTTATTGCAAGGCTGTTTTCCTTTAGGGGAGGGGTCTATCAGGCAGATTAGCCAGTTCTGATCAGGCAATTCCTCGTGGACTGGTTTGAGATTCCATTTCTGGGAGAGCCAAACTGTAATGAAGTCCTGGATTGGGATGCAGGACTTTGCATAAGGCTCCATTTGAGGCCTGCTGTCTTGTTTTTCAAAGCAATTAGCCACAGAATCCTAGAATATTATATGTTTTCCTTCTGATTGGTGGTGATCACATCCTCTCATTATCATAAACTGTGTGCATATTCCACGTCCTCTGTAGTCTGCCAATTCCCTTTATGAATTATTCCATTGCCTAGCATTGAACCTGGCATACCAGGTAGAGAACTTACAAACACTCATGTAACATGCTGCCTTGTTGCTATTTCATTATAGATCTGATGGAATGGAAAGCATTATGTGTGTCCAAATAGACACAGAAACATACATACAAATGGATTAGCAATATTAACAGTTTTTTGAAGTCTTCCCATGTTGTTGGTTCTAAACTCTGAGAACCTAAACAGACAAAGTGTTTCTATATTCTCAAGAAGAAAAAAAAAAAAAATCATTCCTTGTAGCTGGGGAATTGTATAGATAAGTAAACTTTGGGGAAGGCAGACCTGCTTATTTTTTGCATGACTTCCTTGTTTCTCTAGCACGTCTGCATCCTGCACTAATCTGCTCTGACAGCATGCATGATGCAGTCACATTGGAAGGCATATTGACAGCAGCATGGGCCAGGAGCATCAGGGCATCAGGGCATGGATGTTCCCTGCTTCCCTTTTTCTCTGGTTAAACTTCATAGGCTGATGTTCCACCTTAGACACTAGGTTTGGGTGCGGGTACTGAGTGCACTGCTGGACAGTAAGGAGGCTTCGGGATGACAAGGCTTCCCGCAGCATGGAGAGCACCATGGTGGTGCTGGAGGAATGCTGGAGATGGTAGAGACCCGTGGGGGAATGAGCAGCCATTAGGACTGAATATGTCTTATCAGGTCACTGCTGAGCCTAAAATCCTCCAAAGCTTTCTAGTATTCTGGGTATAAAGTAAAAGTCCTTGCCGTATCTCTCAGGATCTCCCACAGCCTCACTGCCTGCTTCTTCCGCCTCATGTGAGATGCCTTCCTCCACTCTCATTGCTCAGACCTACTGGTCTTCGGATGGTCCTGCAACATGACTGCCTCTCCTGCTTGAGGGATTTTATGGAAGTGGTTCCTTCCATGTGGAATAGCTTTCTTCTCCAACGTCTAGCCAGCCAACTCCAACACGTTCTCCCCGACCCCCAGGAATTGGTTAGTGCCCCAGGTTTAGACTCTTGCTCACTTTACCTGCCCTTTCTCACAACTCATCATCCTTCAACAGCTTCCCCACTGTGTCTTCCTCACTAGATCATAGCTCCTTGAGGGTGACTCCAAGGGTGTCTCACTCATCCCATGGTCTACCATGCCTGTCCCCGGGCCAGATGGGTGCCAGACCACTGAGAAATATCTGTGAAGTGAATACAGATCTCAAAGCATTTAAAGATAATTCTCTGAACCGACTGGGCGGTGCCACCAGGAACATGAGAACTGAGTGGGCTCTTCCTGCTTTCTCTCTTTCAAACCCTGCTGGGAAGGAGTTTTGAAGGGCAGGCATTAGAGGTGGGGATTCTGGGTGAGGGATCTCAGCCAGGGAGCCAGGGCAGGGCCTTCACTGTGATATAGGAACATTTTTAGGAAGTGACCCTCTGCTGGAATTCCTCAGTTCCAAGGTCGTCATTAGCTTTAAACTGCTATGCAGTGTGAATAATTCACCTGTGGGAGAAAATTTAGCAGTGATAGTAATGCTACTTTCATCATGAAAATCCTAAAATCCTGACTAATCTCAACTGAACTCAGTCCAGACTGAGCCATTTCCATAACACTGAAATATAACCTGTAGCCACGCCAGAAAGCCACCTCTTAACACGGGCCTTTCAAGAAAAGCCTAAGGAGATCTACAGCATTTAGAACCACTAAAATGATGACCTGGGGAAATAATTCATCTTGAGTTAAATTATTAAATATTAAAGTAGAGTTTAATATAATCAAATCAAATGTCTTTATCTGAATAGATTTTCCCTTCTGGGTGGTGTGTCATTTGGTCAATCTTCTCCAAATCATTAAAGTCACTCACTAGATACTATTTGAGTGCCTAGGATACACTTCGTTAGGGGTCAGTAATCTAAGTGAAAGAAGAGTTTCTACCCATGAAGATCTTATTGTCTATTCAGAGAGACAGACATGAGAAAAGGAATGAAGCAAAGGGTTAGATGAACGACAATACCCTTATGACTTTCAAATTCCAAATGATACACTCCAACCCTGCAGAGTCAGAACCTGAAGAATCCAGCTAAACCTCACGGCACCCTGTCTGTTTTTTGGGGTCGCTGGCATTTGGGGTTGCTGGCTCAGGGGTCCTCAGTCCCCACACAATCTCAGTTTTCAGCGCTGCTTAGCACTGTCATCTCCAACTTAGCAAGCATGAACACCAAAGGGCCTTTACTAATTATAGCCAAGCTAGGTGATTTTTTTTAAATCGCCTTACTAAGAAATTAAGGATGCTTAGTATTCTCAGTGTTTTTAGCAGATTACTAAACACTGTTAAAGATACAGTCTGCATGACACCACTTCATGTGGAGTCTTTGCTCAAAGACTATAATCCTAGTGCTTGTGTTTCAGTGACTTTATACATTAAAAAAAAAAATCACCTTGACCTCTATTACATAAGACATTTCAGATTTACTTTACCTAAAATTAAATTCCAGCTACATTACTGATAGTGATATTTTAATGATACATTTATGAAGCATTCCCTTATGTATATAACTCTATTCCCTATGACCAGTGTCTAGGGCAGGGATTGACACATGGTTTAAAGGGAATCATGGGATGGTTCACAGTCAACTGGAAAGAAATGCTGTCTTTCATTGACTTGGTGTGAACTCGGGAAGATGCGGGTCTTTCACTTTCTGTTAGCAGCGTTCCTGCCACCAAACACGGCCCAACATTAAAGAATTACCCTAAAGAAGGACAGAGTTGGTTCCTAATGTCAGTTTGAGCATCTTACCTGAGGCCTTCTATACCTGGCCTTGCATATAAGTGAGCCTAAAATCCCTTTTTATGTAGGGCTATGAGTTCTGTTGGATTTCACTTGCAAACCAAAGAGACCTAACAGTCTCATTCTCAGGGAACAAGGCAGAAAGGAGACTGCAGACAGGACAAGTATAAGTCATTCTGTATTTATTTGGTATTCAATGCACCTCCATTTCCAGAGAGAAAAGACACAGTCTGAGGTATCCCGTTGTAACAAATCTCCCACATCCAGCTTTACATCCTGAAATTTTAGGCCCTGTAATTAAGGTTTGTTACCATCATACAGAAGTGATTAAAATTTTTCCCTGAGATTATAAGGCTGTACCTTTGTCCACAGAATATCTTTCCTTCCAAAATTCAAGAGAAAAGTAGGAAAAGAGAAGTCTTCTGGTTGGTGGGAGAGGCAGATAACTTTAGATAGAATTCCTGAGAAAAAGGTGTAGAGTCAACCACACCACTAATACATTTTCTCTGGCTGTGAACTCCTGTTCTTTCAATGTCTGAAAACATTTCAGAAGGGAAATTCATTTGTTCCATATAACAACACTTTAGCTCAATGCTATGTGCAGAGCAGTCTGCCTTCTGTTAACTGCTACAGTCGCCTTGATGCCTCAGTGTCCAGTTAAAAGCAGAGCTAGTGAGATATGGACAGCCCTCCCCAGGGGCATATGGGAAAAAGAAAAACACGGACGATGAGAAAAAATTGTTATCACGCCACACAGTTAGGTCTGCAATGTTTATCAAAATGGTTTGAAATCAGAACAGCCTATGATCCTCCCCAACTAGGAATGGGGAGGGACTTAGTAGATGATTATCTCAAATTAGGCAATCCAAGTCAGCAAAGCATAAGGCAAACGGACATGAGTCTTCCAGTCTTGGAGCCCTGACAGTCAGCTCTGAAGGCAATGAAACTTCAGTAGGAAATCACCCTCCCAGATTGCGACATCTCACAGATGGGAGGGAGCCAGTTGACTGGGATCAGTCACTCTTAGGCAGCGTTATTAGTCCTCCACTCGCCATCCCCCTAGAATGGCACAATGGAATGAATGTGTTCCCTACTGAGGATTCCACTTTTTAAGAACAAACAAAGGTTTCTATAATCTGACCCACATTCCACAGTGGAGAAAGGCAGTGGGTCCCGGGGTGGGGAGACTGGGAAAGGAAGCCAGATGTCCAGCAAACATGCTCGAGGACAAACTGCTAGAGAGTGTGCAGGCCTCTGAGCACAGGAAAGAGAAAGGCAGGCTGAGCATTGGTGGCTGTCACACTTCCAAAAACGTCATTCCATGAACAGCATCCCACGGACACGGAGCTCCCACGTTCCTCCTCTAGGTTCTCCTATAGTTCTGACAGGCTTTCACCATGTCTTTCAAGAAGTTAGGAACTCCATTCTGCAAAGTAAAGGAGACCATCATGTCTGTATCCTCACAGCGATGACTCCTGATTCTTCAGGATGTGGCTAAGGTGAAAGAAGATGGCTTTGGGAATATAAATATGACAACAGGGGCCCTGAGCAGATTTCCACAGCGTGTTGCCACAGATGATGACAAAAGGGAAGACGCAGGACACGGGTAAGGCAGGGGCCACTGTTGTAAGACCTTGTTACACATTTTCGCTTTTCCTAATAAAAAGCTAAGATACTTATGAGCTATCATTTTTGGAAAGGAAAGATAAATCAGAAGTGGCACTGCAGGGGAAAGAAATGAGAAGAAAGACTTGCTTTATAAAATTAGACAATGGTAAGGATTGGGGGGCAAGAGTGGGTATGCCATCCTTTAGTTAGTGTTGATCACTGTTTAAGAAATTCCCCACACATTGTTCTATTTACTCCTCTACATGGTGGGACTATTCATTTCCATTTTTAAAGGGGAAGAAATTGATGGTTTCTCTAGATTACACAGTCAGAAGCTGGGCCAAAATTCAAACCATCTTGTGCTTGATTCAAAGCCTTTTCACTCTCCCAGGGAACTGGTGAGCTCTCTCCCCAGTAACTAGGACCTTACAAAGCACGCTGAATGGTCAGCATGTTTCTAGGTTCTAGGCAGTCTTGAATGACCTGGGCACCACTGGGGTTCCCTCTCCTTACAGAAAAACAAAATAACCATAAAGAACCTGGAGATTTCTCCAGGCTTGAATATGGTTGGTTGTCTCCTGAGCTAGGTCAGCCTAACTCCTCCATGAGCAGATACAGGGTCCACAGGCACCCTTGTTCCTACAAGGAACAGGCTACTGTTTGGGAGGTTCCAGACAGTGATCCTGGAGGGGTCTTGGTGCAAAGCAGGGTGGGGCTGGCGTTCCTTCTAAAGTTTGTCTTTTGTCCCAGCCTCTGTCCTGGGTATTGGCCACCCCAGGCCTAACACAGTCCATCAAACAAGGTGTTTCATAAAAGAGCATCATGAGGCCTGAGACAGCACAGCTCTTCAAGCTGACAGCCCCACAGGCTAAGTCAACAGCTGTCAAACACACCTCCCCTCCCGCTTCCTGGGGTCTCACCTTAGCAGCCCAGTTAATGACCCAGGACGGAATCTGGCCACCAGGATTATCGAAGTAATACATGAAAACTAGAGAGAGAGAGAGAGAACAATTCAGGAGGGAACCTGTTAGAAAGATACAGTACAAACCCTGCAAACCTTCCACTTTCATATCCAGCCCAGAAAGTAAGGAGGTGAGTCACAAGAACTCCAGGAGACTGGCCCCTCTGCCGTGCCTTACAGGAGACATACACAGAAACATTGTGGGAAACAGCCAAGGCACCTTCTGTGGCTATTTTTTAATCACCTGGCAAGCAATACACTTAGACACAGTTCCTCATTTAATTACGGCTCTCATTAATTATATTAATCCTAAGAAGTTAAGATTAAACCCCCATTTATAAATGATGAAGTGAAGATTCAGAAGAGTGTATGATGCGCCCAAAGTGGCACATCTTATTAACACACATCACAACTAAGTTTAGACTTCGCCTCAGCCTCAAGTCTACATCCACTCTAGGTCAGCAGGTGGCTGCACGGAACTTCTGCCCCACTGTGTCGTCTGAGGCTGGAACTCAAGGCAGACAGGTTCCGAGTCCCTGGGTGTTTGCTGAGGAGGAGCTGCCTCCCCACAGGTGGTCCCACCAGCCCTCCTGGCCACCCCTGTCCAGCTTGTGCATGTGCAGGACCTTCCCAAAGTGAGTTTCTAAGCCTTCTAGTTCCCTTGGGTGTCCTAATTTCATCTAGACAATGCAAGAGTCAGTAAAGAATGAACTGATCCACATACTAGTCTACCCAAGCTCCTGGGGATGAAATGCTTCTCTCTTGCTTCTTTTGGACCCGTGTCCAGTCTCTGACCCCCGGGAATCAGCATCCTGCACTCTACGCGCCTGCAGCCCTGGCAGGTACCCCAACCCGTGCCCCTTTTTACCTTTGCTCCCCCTCTTGCCATCGCTCTGGATCGCCAGCCTCTGCGTGTACTGCTTCACCCGGATCACACCCGACTTCTCTGGAATCTGTGGCTCATAGGTGCTCTGGGACACGATCACGTGGACCTTCCGCCCTTCAAAATCCAGCTCTCGCCGCTGCCGCACGTAAACATACCACACCGCGGTCAAGGCACAACAGCAAGGCCTGCATTGAGATGCTAAGCAGAAGGAAAGCCCACCGCAGAAACAACGGCACATGATTCCACTCCTCTGCTTCGTGTTTGTCCCCTTGCTCTGTTATCTCGGGTCCCGCCCCATCTGCCCACCCACCTTAGGAAAGTCTGGCTCCTCCCACCTGGCGTTGTCATTTGAGAGGATGCATTACCCACTGGAGATTGGTCCCCTGCTGCTTTAGTTAAGTGGGGAACCCAGTCCTCCTTTCTCCAAGAAGGCAATGAAGTCTCAGACAATTGGTCACTTAGCAGCTGTGTGATCCTGGGCGTGCTACTCAACTTTTCTGCTATTGGTTTCCCTCTACAGAAAAAAAAAAAAAGGTAACACTGCCCTGCAGATAAGCTTGGCGGGAGCATGGGAGAGAGACTGAAGCAGAATCGCACTCACTAGACAATGAGGTCACTGCTCTCCGTCCTCCCGCAAAGGCCCTAATCACTGACCTCTATGTACAGAGGATGGTTAGGCAAGGATGCTTACACCTGGCAATCATAGGAAGACACATGAATAACCAAATAATTAGTAGGCAGATGGCCTCACTGGGTCTGGTTCACCAAGAATCACAAAGCCGTTTCATCTCAATAAACACTCACAGACTAGCCACTGTCTATGGCACTATTACAGGGAAGATAATTCGATTTTAAAAAACAGCAGGAGTCACCACTTATTGAGCCCTGATGACGTACATATATCATGTGCTTTATATTTAGCATCAGCTTTGAAAGTGAGAAAGTCCCTGTGAATTCAGTGTAAATATAAATGACATAATATGACATCTTATTGTCTTATGTCTTATATAAATATATAAATATAAATATGTCCTATAAATGACAAAATTGAGACACAGAGAAGTAAAGAAAGTTGCAGAAGATCCCATAGCCCAGCTAATGTGATGGACTCTGTATTTGATTGGTGAGACTTCCTCCCCAGGCATGCTGCGGGACATCTGTCGCCCCCACACGCTACTCCCTGACGAATAAAGTGCTTACATGTTTTCAGGAAGGAATGATGCTGCCTTAGCTCTGGATTTCCTCCCTCCCAAGCCTTTCACGTTTTCCTCAGCAAATACTGTCCCACAGCTTGCTCAGTTCACGTGATGGACGTCCCCTGACTCTCACTGAGGAGACAATCTATAGATTAACTGTGATTTCACAGGGTTCCTTCAGCAGTTGGCAGGTCCAGGGTGGACGGGAGAAGCAGCCGTTCACTGAAGCCCAGGGAGGTGAGGGGCCTTTTCCAAGGTCACACAGCAAATCAGTGAGCATGCACGCAACCTGGGAGCCTTCCCTCCAAACTACTGCCCTTTTCCCTACACTGTTCTCTGTTCTCAAAACCTGAACAGCCCTGCAGATGCAGAGACTGAGATACTCATCATGGGATTGAGTGGCACTGGAAAGACAATGCAGCAGAACTGTAAGGAGCCCCAAGTGTCTGCTCCTGAGAACGCCACCCACAGGGTCCTGTGAGGTCAGAGAGGTGGGTTTGCTCTGGTCCAGATCACCGTCTCTGGACACAGCTGGACCTGGGTCCACGCCTGCGTCTGCTGCCCATAACAGTGAGACCCTGCTGAGCAGAGATCTGAATGTCCCTCGGCCTCAGTTTTCTTTCCTGTCTGAGGGGGATGACGGCTCCTATGTGGCACAGTTTTGGCAGGATGAGAGAAAACCATGTAAAATCTAAAAGATTAAGTAACCACAATTGGCTGAAATACATACCACCTGTATACAAACTGCTTAGCAGTCTGTGGGAATTGTGCCAAGAAATAATCTCTTATGGAGTCTGTAATGTGGCTGAGCCAGGGTAACCAATCACACAGGAACAATACCTACACTCACCCCCACGCCCCCTCTCTTTCTAGAGCACAATTATTCAGGAGTATACAGGCTTACAGAATGCTACAGCTGGAAAAGATTCCAGCAGTCATCCAGCAGTGGTTTCCAAGCATTTTTTTTTTAATCTCCAACATCCTCTATTTAAAGGATTTTTTATGGAAATTCAATGTGTAAAACAATCAGCTGCTATGATTGAAGAAAAGAGTGAGGTCAAAAATCACACCTTCCCCCACCCAATCTGTCTACCCAGCAAATGTCCATCAAACCTCCTAGCCTGGCCCTAAGGGGACGTCACAGAACCCTGAAGTGTCAGCTAAAACTCCCCACATCTATTCAACTGCTTCATATCATAATCGAGGAGACTGAAGCGGAAAAACATAACACAGTGTCCAGAGCCAATAATCGGGAAGGAGGGGAGGAGGAGAGAGCTGGAAACGTGGGGCCTGAGTTCAGCCCCCAGTCGGCTGCTACGTAAGTCAGCCTCTGCCGCCTGACTTCTCTGGGTCCCGGCTTTCTCCTCCATAGACTGAGGGAATGTACTGAATACTCTTTATGAAAAGTTGTTCTCAGATCCCCAATTCTGTGGCACAAGGGCTTCCCAGAAAAGTTTCAAGAAAGTGTGAGCTGCCTTTCTGTGACCACGGTTATAGGTGCTCCATGTCATCAGGCCTAGAAGTCACACTCTGAGGTCTCTGAAAGCCACACAAGAAGGAAGAGCTTTAGCAGATGCTTCTGCAAGAGTCAGACAACGCTGTTCACACCTGCTGGACACACCACCACTGGGTGATGGTCCCAGGGTACAGAAGCACTTTAGAAAGCTGAGTAACGGTCCACCTTTGGAAAGGATACATCTCTGTTAGACATGGGAAAAGGGTACTTCACTTCCCAGTAGACCACTGTTTCTCCATTGCGTTCTCTTTCATAGAGTTCTAAGAAAAGAAACAAAACAAAGAAGTTACTGAATCTGGAAGTCTATTTGGTTTCAATTCAGAAAAAGCTTTGATATGCTGCCAACCCTTTAGGGATGATAAAACACTAACTCATAAAACACAGAATTCTAGAAAAAGTCAGATAGATTCATTACCACTGAAAGCTTGTTGCCAAGAGGCAGAGTCTAATAGATACAAAAATGCAGTAAAAATAAAAGAACCCAACAAAAGTTGTTCATCATATAGCACAGACAGTCTCAAAATTCAGTGAAACCAAACTAGGAATTAAAATAAAATTTCAGGTTTAACAGTCTGGGTAACCACTAGATGCTGAAGCTGAAACTGCAATACTTTGGCCACCTGATGCGAAGAACTGACTCATTTGAAAAGACCCTGATGCTGGGAAAGATTGAAGTCAGGAGGAGAAGAGGACGAGAGAGGATGAGATGGTTGGATGGCATCACCGACACGATGGACATGAGTTTGAGTGAGCTCCAGGAGTTGGATGGACAGGGAGGCCTGGCAAGCTGCAGTCCACGGGGTTGCAAAGAGTTGGACATGACTGAGCGACTGAACCGAACTGAACCACTAGATGTCATTAGATTACCAACAGTTACACTGCTGCGCCCCTCCTCCCTTCTTCAGACTTCTTGACTGAGTACAGGTGTCCTGGGACTAAGCCACCCAGTCTGGTGTGTTCAGTTGAGAAATGAAGCTTCCAGAGAGTTCAGTGTCCTTCCTGAAAAGCTAGGAAGTGGCCTAACTGTACTAACTCTAAGTTTCTTGCCTATCTCCCATGTTGCTTTCTGTCCCACTTACAGGGACCAACCCACCATGCTATTGCACGCAAATAGCATCAGCAATTGGAGGGAGATAGTAAAAGAATGCTACGAAGCTTCTAAGCTGTGTGGGAAGCTTCTAATTAACCATTTAGAGAAGGAGCCAAGCCAAGTCCACTGGAGGAACCAAAAGAGTCCCTTTAGGAAATACTGACTTTGTCAATGTGTTAATTAATTCAGCTTTTGAAATAACAAAATCTGTTAGAAGCAGACCATGGGTAAAGAGCTTGCCAGTCCATTGGTCCAAGAGGCTGAAGATGCCCTTGAAAGGAAGGGAATCAGTGGACATCTGTTGCTTTGCCTGCTTGGTGTTGACTCCCCTGTCCTTGTACCAGCATCTCATTCTCCTTCAGAGCATCGCCTTTCTCACCTTCACTATGTAGTTTAAGCAGAAGTGACTCAGTGGTAATTATAGGGCTGGGAAATTGAGCTAGACATGGCCATGATGATTAGTTTAGGGAAGGTATGTGTGGACGAGACTCGGCTTGCCACTCTTCTAAGTTTAGCCCAAAAGTGCTTTCATAAAGGCTGTCAGCTAGCTCACAGAAGATCTAGGAGACTAGAGTTAGGTTAAGAACCTCAGGACTACTCCAGAGAAGTCAAACTGCTGCTGCCTCTGGACCTTATTCCAGTGGGGACGTCTGATGCCAAGCACCACGTGGCAGAAACTGCCAAGGTCCACAGTACATGACTGAGCCACGGCTGCCAGGGAAATGGACAGGGAACGCCTGACTTCACCCTTGGCAGGTGGGCATCACAATTCCCCCTTCATAGGAAGCCTATTTGACAACACCAAGCGACCCAAAATCATGATAAATGTCCCCAGTGCACAAGCACATGGTCGATGCCGAGACAGTTACAGCCTGTCCTGTGACTCTGAATGCAATGAGTGGGAAAATTCCTATTCCTCTGGGGTGATGAACTTTGTGAGAATGTAAGCCTGCATCTTCTGGTGGCATCTTTGTCATGACACAAGAATCTGCCTGATAACGTGGTCCACAGAGATGGAAACACAGTCAAGCTGGAAAAGTGGAGTACTGAATGCGGCTGACCTGGAACGAGACACACATGCCATTTTCAATGTAATAAACCAAACCAAAAAATGCTTTTTCCTTTTCTCACACTGGCATTTGTTAGCTTTTGCTTCTTGCAACCAAGATTCCTGCCCACAGAACGGCTCTGTCAAGGTTTCTGGCCCCCTGGGCTAGCTGTATTTATTTCACTGTGACTGACTGGGATGGTAGAAACTACTCCCTGCTCTAAGTGGCAGCAAGATCCTCTATCTATCACTGCTCATAACTTTCCATTACCTCCAGGGAAAAATCGAGGAACCCTAGCCTGGTGGTCAGTTTAGGTCCTTGGGGCTCTGGGCCCACCTTCCAGCCTAGTTCCAGATTCTGCTCCCCAACTATTCAATTGCACCCAATTTTTTAACATTTTATGTTGCTTCATGCCTTCTCTACTTTACTCATGCCGTCCCCTCGGCCTTGAATGCCCTTAAACCTCTCAGCCCCTCACCTGCTCACATGTACAAATATATATAAAATCTTGATGCTTATAAAACGTGGATTCAACCTCTAAAGCAAAGCTTCAGTACCACCTTTTCCAAGAAGCCTTCCACGATCTCCTAGGTTTGTGGATGACAACACCACTTAATATGAGAGCAAAGCGTCCCTCAGAACGAACTGGAGAGTGACTTTAGTGGTACGCAAGGAACAAACCCTGAGAACAGCAGTCACATTTGACTTAGCACTTTAAGATGCGTTTGCTCAAATTTAAAGTGAAAAATACAGTAAACATACCTTTTGCTTACTAATGGCTAGAATAAGTAACATGGGATTCTACTTTCTAATTGGTTTTTAAAAACTGTGTCACTCACCTTTAACATATTGGTCCCACTGTTTCCTATAGGCTAAGTCCATATAGACATCTGCAAGCAGATCTGGTGAGCAGTCCTCCAGAACACCAAAAACCTTATACGCATACAATCCAGTCCGCTACAAAAACAGAACAGGCAGAAACAACCTGTTGATTGCTGTGTTAAGACTATACAGCATCTGAAAAACACCTGTTCATGTAACACTGAGCACTTTCCCTTGGTCCTGGTGACACAGTGGTGAAAAAGCAGACAGGAGCCTGTCCTCATCGGTCCTATAAAACCGGCCTTAGGCACTGGTGCTGGTGATGGCTGTATGTTATCCCGGCAATTTAAGCAGGATAAAAGAGCGTCATGTGACAAATGGTGCCTGAGTTGCAGGCGGAGAGAGCTAGTGGAAACTTCTATCTTATCAGGTGTTCAGGAAATATCTCCATGAGGAATTTATCCAAGGAGTCTGTTCTAAATGCTAGAAGGAGGTCAGCATGGGAAGATGAGGAAACCCCACTCCGGGTTTGGGAGAGGGCCCTTAGGCTGACGGGCTGGCTTATTCAGAGAACAGAGTGCCGTGAGGGGGCAGAGCTGGCGCAGCTGAGGCCAGAGGGGCAGCGGGGCTGCATCCAGAGGGCTTTGCCACTCAGGGTGCAGGGGTCAGGATTTCAGCTTAACTACTGTGGAAAACCAGCTCACGACTTCAGACAGGGAAATGACTTTACATGGGGGTGGGCAGCCTTTAAAGGATGATTCTTGCTGCTTGGTAGAACATAGATCACGAGGGAGCAAGGAGACGGGCCAGAAGACCGGGGCAGCGGTCCAGAAAAAGAATGACGGTGACTGGACAGGGAGGTCACAGCAGCGATGGGGAGAGGCCAGACGTTTAGTGACACGTTTTGGAAGCAGTATCAGTAGAACTGCTGGCAGATGGGCTGTGGGGACAGAGAGAGCAAAGAATTGAGGATAACTCCTGGGGCCTTCCATGAGCAACCAGGTAGATGGGAGAGTGGGCTGTGGGCTGTGGGGTAACCAAGAGCTCTGCCTCGGGCAAGTGGAGTTTGAAATGCTTATTAAACACCCACGTGGGTGTATCATATACGCGGTTAGCAACCAGGATTCAGACTACTATATCAAATAACCACAAGCATAATGAAAGCCAACACATTGCTTTACCAATTCCAAGACAGGATTTTTCACTAGCTGCTCCCTTTCTCCTATAAATGACTTATGTATAAAAGAAATGAATAGGGAGAGAAACATTAGCTTTCAATGCTTGAAGTCATACTAGTCCCTTTTATTCAGAAAAAGGTCATTTCTATATTCTTAATTACAAGAGACTTCTCTTCATGTTAAGCTGTATCCTCTTCTGTGAGGATTCTGGGCTGGAGTTGGCGACACTACACATTTCACTCTGTACAGTGGCAGCTCACAATTCCTGGCTCCCACCTTGTTAAAAGGATCTATCATTAAGATAAAACCAACGGCTCATATTAATTTCGGTGCAAATGCAAACAAACAAAAATGAAACTTTAAGACATACTCATACTTTCAGGTGTGAAAGCAATCCTATTGACTAATCAAACATGAATGAACTTATCTTTTTAAACACTGTTCCAGAGAATTATGTGACATTAAGGGATAAACATGGAGAATCTTTCTAAAGATCCTGAGGCTTCAAGGGTCTCCTGACTCAGGTGGGATAAGTACAGCCCAGTTTGGGATCTCAGATGTACATGAAAGTAACTGGCAGGTAATGGAAGGCAAAACTGAAACTTAATTCATAAGGTTTCATAAGGAAGCTGTGGTACATATACACCATGGAATATTACTCAGCCATTAAAAAGAATTCATTTGAATCAGTTCTAATGAGATGGATGAAACTGGAGCCCATTATACAGAGTGAAGTAAGCCAGAAAGATAAAGACCATTACAGTATACTAACACATATATATGGAATTTAGAAAGATGGTAATGATAACCCTATATGCAAAACAGAAAAAGAGACTCAGATGTATAGAACAGACTTGTGGACTCTGTGGGAGAAGGCGAGGGTGGGATGTTTCAAGAGAACAGCATCAAAACATGTATATTATCTATAGTGAAACAGATCACCAGCCCAGATTGGATGCATGAGACAAGTGCTCGGGCCTGGTGCACTGGGAAGACCCAGAGGGACTGGGTAGAGAGGGAGGTGGGAGGGGGGATCGGGATGGGGAATACATGTAAATCCATGGCTGATTCATGTCTATGTATGACAAAAACCACTACAATATTGTAAAGTAATTAGCTTCCAACTAATAAAAATAAATGAAAAAAAAAAAATAAAAGTACGTGGCTTTATACCAAGGGTTTCCAACCAGCAAACGACAAACTGGCAGCCTCACCACCCACGTGCTGTGCCGTGGATGCCCCACAGGAAGGGCAGGACTAGGGAGAAATAGCTTCTCCTCCAGCCCTCTCCCCTCAAACTCACAAAGGGGAAGACAGTGCTATACGCAACACACATCTATGCCCACACACTTAAATCAGCACCAACAGAGAGAGAGACAATGCGCTTCTGTTCAGGAATATTGGGTCCCCGTTTTCTATACTGTTAATCTTGGGTCTAGTACTAATATTGGGCCCAATACTAATAATATTGGGTCCCCATTTTCTTGATATGGGCTTCCCTTGTTGCTCAGCTGGTAAAGAATTTGCCTACAATGCAGGAGACCTGGGTTTGATCCCTGGGTTGGGACGATCCCTTAGAGAATAGAAAGGCTATCCACTCCAGTATTCTGGCCTGGAAAATTTGCAGAGTTGGACACACCTGAGTGACTCTCACTTTCACATTTTCTTTATATAGAAAAATATCAATAACCTCAGATATGCAGATGACACCACCCTTATGGCAGAAAGTGAAGAGGAACTGAAACAGCCTCTTGATGAAAGTGAAAGAGGAGAGTCAAAAAGTTGGTTTAAAACTCAACATTCAGAAAACTAAGATCATGGCATCTGGTCCCATCACTTCATGGCAAACAGATGGGAAAACAATGGAAAAAGTGACAGACTTTCTTTTCTTGGGCTCCAAAATCACTGAAGATGGTGACTGCAGCCATGCAATTAAAGCACACTTGCTCCTTGGAAGAAAAGCAATAGCAAACCTAGACAGCATATTAAAAAGCAGAGACATTACTTTGCCAACAAAGCTCCACCTGGCCAATGCTATGGTTTTTCCAGTGGTCATGTATGGATGTGAGAGTTGGACCATAATGAAGGCTGAGTGCCGAAGAATTGATGCTTTTGCACTGTGGTGCTGGAGAAGGCTCTTGAAAGTCCCTTGGACTGCAAGGAGATCAAACCAGTTAATCCTCAAGGAAATCAGTCCTGAATGTACACTGGAAGGACTGACGCTGAAGCTCCAACAATTTGGCCACCTGATGCGAAGAACTGACTCCTTAGAAAAGACCCTGATGCTGGGAAAGACTGAAGGCAGGAGAAGGGGATGAAGGAGGATGAGATGGTTCGATGGCATCATTGACCTGATGGACATGAGTTTGAGCAATTCCAGAGTTGGTGATGGACAGGAGGCCTGGTGTGCCGCAATCCATGGGGTCTCAAAGAGTCATACACGACTGAGTGACTGAACTGAACTGACTTTCTATACAGTGAGCAAAAGGGATAATTATGTATAGAAAAAACGATCTTCTCAGCTTCACATGAGTTAGCTTTGGTTATCTGGATGAATTAAGACAAAGTGTTTCCTGGAATTAGTCCCCTTCCCTTCTGAATGTAGTTTCTGCTCTTAGTGACTTCACTCCAGTAATATCACAGAAAAGAAAACAGAAAGGCCTCTAGGAGGAGAAAAATAGAGTGATGCGGCTTATGTGAATACCGAAGAATGAACTACTATGACAACTTCCTTTAAACATTCCCTTCATGGCAGGACTGAGAAATGCCAGAACACCAGAGAAGCAAAATGCTTGGTGACACTTTTCCTAATCCATCAGTAAAATGTTTTTTTCAAGCACCGAGTAGCCCCACTCAAATTCTGGGTCAAAGCAATTTTTTACCCCTCATTTCTTTCAAAAGAAGGGAATTGTTTCAACAGAAACAAATTCACATTTTTGTTATGTCTCTTAATGAAATTTTCATAATTATAAAAGTAAGTCATATTCATTGAGAAAAATTACAAGATGCCAAAAATAATAAAGAAAATTAAAACATGTAACTTCATAGTCCTCAAATACCAACTGATAGTATTTTGCATATTTTTGAGTAAATAAATATTTCTATGTGTTATAAAATGGGAGTAAGATAGCATAAACAGACTGCATTCCTATTTTTAACTACATCATTTTGAAACTGAGTGATCACAGCTAATTTTATTATTCTGTAAGTTATTTCTGTTTCCATATATTTTCACAATTGTGAACACTGCTGGAAAAATTATTCCAAATGGACAAATCTGGTTCATAATTCTAACTTCTTCATTAGGAAAGCAAAATGCTTCTTCAGAGATAAATTTTAGGGTAAATGACATTAACACTTTAATGCTTTTACTTTTTATAAATCTTTAAGAAAGAATTTTACCTATTATACTCTCACCAGTAGCAAAGAAGCATCTCACCAGAACTAGGTACCACTGTTTGTACAAATAATTTAGCAGGAGGAAGCATAAATCTTAGTTTTATTTGGGCAATGTACTGATGTGTAATTCTCTTTCAAATTAGAGATATAATTCTGGTGCAACATTTTTTGCAGATACGTGTTGAAATGTTCTAACATTTTAATAAATGACTCTAAACAAGTTTACTCAAGAGGTGCTTGGTTTTTCCTGAAGGTCCTCCAGAAAAACACTTCTAAGAATGGCTCAATTTCTTTATCTAAAGTAAAATGCAACGCATGCTTTTCTTTTTTAAATTACTTTTAATTGCAGTGTAGATGATTTATACTGTTGGGCTAGCTTCTGCTGTATGGCAAAGCGAACTAGTTATACATATATCCACTGTTTTTTAAGACCCTGATGTTGGGAAGATAGAGGGCAGGAGAAGGGGGAGACAGAGGATGAGATGGCTGGATGGCATCACCGACTCAATGGACATGAGTTTGAGCAAACTCTGGAAGACAGTGAAGGACAGGAAAGCCTGGTGTGCTGCAGTCCATGGGGTCACAAAGAGTTGGACATGACTGAACAACTGAAAAACAACATACTTTTCTAATGATCCACTAGTTACAGGATACTGTAATTTCCTACACTACAGGTGGTAAAAGAATTATTCAGTGGTAGAGAATCAGTTAATATCATGTGCAGAATATAATTCCCAGAAGAAACAGGAGATTCGTTATAGCACACACGCTCTTTCTTTCTAAGAGAACCCCTATGGCCACTTGCACAGCTAATAACCTTCCTGATCTCTTCTATAGGTAGAGGAAGCCATAAGACAATTCCCTCTTCTTTTGAATATGGGTATGCTGTCTAGAGCTGCAGGAGCTATTTTGTGATTAAGAGACAACAAAAATGAGAAAGCAGAGTGAAAATATTCAGAGTTTTACTGACACTGTTGATCAACTGATCCAATGCCAGCAACTGCTGACCTCTGGACAGCTTGCTAGGTGAGAAATATAAACCTCTCTTTGGGGACTTCCCTGGTGATTCAGCTGGTAAAGAATCCGCCTGCAAAGCGGGAGACCTGGGTTCGATCCCTGGATTGGGAAGATCCCCTGGAGAAGGGAACGGCTACTCACTCCAGTATTCTGGCCTGGAGAATTCCATGGACTGTATAGGCCAGGGGGTCCAAAGAGTCAGACAGGACTGAGTGACTTTCACTTTTCACTTGTTTAAGACTTTGTTAATCCAGTTGTCTGTTACTTGCAGCTAAAAGCAATCCTACTTATTACAAGGTTCTTATTGAGAATTCTATTTGAGTTCTGTGATCCTGAAAAACAGAGATTAAGAAACTCTCACATGCTTTGTGTTTCAAAAAACAGCTTATCACAAAAGAATCACTTTTACACACACACACACACACAAACACACACCCTTTGTTTACCTATCACAAGGCCAGACACAACACCTCTAAATTCCCTTTGATGGTCCCACAAATGATCAGCTAAGCTGCTTATTCCAAGGATCAATAGGCACAAAATGTTTGTTAACCAAACTAGTTAAGCATCCCCTTCCTCCAGACTCTAAACTTTGGCCCAGCCTCAGTCTAAGCAGCATCCAGCCCTGCTGAGAATAAACTGGCCTCAGGGTAAGATATTCTGTTCTATTCTCCAGCGGACCACCTTCACCTCACTTCCCCACACGCGGTTTCAGTCTTACTGACTCCTCTCTCTCTGTAAAAAAAAAAAAAAAGACTTTTCTGCCTCACTCCTGAGAAACTCATGGATCTCATGGTCTAAGTATTCTTCCCAATACAATAACCTCCAACTCTAAGTCCAGGTTTGTTTTTTACTTGACATTAAAGTAGACTGACAAAATAGTACTGATCAGACTTCTGCACATTTCCAAGCAAATATGACTATGTAAATTCATTCAAATGGTACAAAAATGCATAAGCATTACTAAAATGAAGAGTTAAGGAAGAGAAGTAAGAGATAATGGACACAATTAATGGACATTAACCTGAAGTATATTTAATTTTGCATAGAAATCTGAAACTTCATACACTCTGTTACAGAAAGTTCCACCTCCTTCTAGTATGTACCACAGGGAAAAAAAAACAAAACACCACCATGGGCCCACTATATCCTTGGGCCTGAGAAAACAGTCAGGCACGGTTTACACTTGGCTTTTCAGCGTGGAATGGATTTGCCTTGGTGATCTGTCAGCGTCACTATAACTGCCATGCATTCTGCACCGGAAGCCGTCCAGTCACTCTGACCTGCTATAAACTCTTTCAATAATGCTAACATTTATTTCTCTAAACACAGTGCGGTTTCCAGTTTCATGTTCACTATCTTGTGTGATCTCACAGAGCCCGGTGGTATCAATAGGGACACCGGTGTCACGTCCTATGACACGAAGCTCAGAGAGGTGACATCTTGCTCGAGTTCTACAGTCGGCTCTTGGGACAGCCAGAGAGAGGAGGACGCTGTGCCCTCTTCTCCCCACGATGGCTCCTAATACGGCTCTAGTCTCTGCACACTTGCTCCAAGCCACTGTTCCAAACGACAAGCTGACAATTTCAGTAAAGACGGCACAGGCTCTAGAGCCGGAAGGAGCCTTAGATCTTTATGTAAAAAATGACAGCGATGCATCAAAAGTCAGCCAATGACTCCTGCTGGCAAAACCTGGATGGGAAACTTTCCTTCCAGTCCCTAACCCAGTGTTCCTGCCCCAGGCGACCCAGAAAAACGCAAATTGCAGAGACAGCAGGTAGCTTGGTGGTTGTCTAAGACTGGGAACGGGAACAGGAGATGACTGCAAATGGGGAACAGGTTTCTTTGGGGGTAACATAAACACTTGAAAATTAGACTCTGGGAAGGATGCATGACTCCATAAACTTACTAAAAATTAGTGAACTATACACTTAAAATGAGTAAATTTTGAGGTACTTAAATGATACCTCAATAAATACAGCTGTTGACACTAGAAGATTATGAAACTCACCCAGGGTCACACAACTAACAAGCTTGACCTGAAGTTCATTAGTTGCAAAAGAACCTGGACTTGAAGCCAGCGATGTGACGGCAAAGTTCACAGCCTACGATCCCACCTCAAAGCACCACTGACCTCTCCCAACGCAGTATTAGAGGAATCACAAGCCGGAGAGTATACACAGCGATGGCCAAGGTGGCCGTGTAACTGACCATTCTAGCAGACGGTTCTGAGTGAAAGAGCTTTATGTAATATGTCTTACCAGCACAAGCATAATGCAGGTCCTGATGGGTAGAGTAGAACATAGATCACCCTACGCAGCAAACACCATTTAATTTACTAGGGGCTTTCAAATGTATCCTCTCACTGGATCCCTGCACAAATCTGGCAGAAAAGGAATTATCTCCAGCTTACAGATGAGGAAGCTGAGACTCAGCTAGGGCTATAGGTTCATAAATCCCAAAACCTCAGAGCAATTAACCACCAAAACTGTATTTTAGACCAGGAGTTACTGAATCTGTCATGCCGGGTATTTTTCACAGTCCACAAGCTAACAATAGTTTTTAGATTTCTAAGTGGTTATGTAAGTCAATATATAGCCTCTTAGTCTATAAAGCCTAAAGTATTTTCTATTTGGCTCTTTACAGAAAACAAATTCGCAATCCCTGCTTTAGACCATTGCCACCACCACTTCTAAAAACATACAGTCCAGAAAAGCTCTGGATTACTAGAGTTGTACTGCAATTCCACATGCGAGAGAGGAATCTTTGTATTATAAACCCCAAATATGTTATATTTTATTTTGAATCACATGTGGGTTTACCATTTAAGCTCAGACAACTCTTCAAAGTAAATCTGCTGATCTTGAGCACACCATGCAGGATAAACATAACAATCTTAAATAAAACTTATTCAAATTCAGAAAACCAAGGAGAAAAAGAAAATCTTAAAAGAAGCTGGCAGGAAGGAATGGGTGATCACTTGACTTATAGAGGAATACAGATGATAATTATAGTAGACATCTCATCAGAAACCACTCTGCAAAAAAGAGGGGGTAGGGTGAAATATATACTATTTTGAATAAAATAAATCACTGACCTAGGATTCTATATCCAATGAAACTGTCCTTCAAAAGTGAAGAAATAAAAATTCAGACAAACAAAAATAGGGAATTCAGCAGCAGCAGACTTGGCTCTGGAAGAAATGTTAAAAGAAGCTTTTCAGGGAGAAAAAAAATATGGTACAGGTCAGGAACTCAGATGTACACTGCATAAAAAGTGCCTGTTTTATTGTCTTAAAGCTTCTGGAAGGTATGAGCTTTTTGTCTTATTCATCAGGCATCACCAAAATGCAGACACGCAATAAGTTCTGATAAAGTGCTTGAATGGGTCATGAAGCAGTATTTGGAAGTTTTTTCTTACTAGGGTATATTCAAACAGCCCAAAACCAGCTGTGGAATACAAAGTCTGACTTACATCCACAGACAGGCATGGGCGATCCTACTCACCCCTCCCCGCTAAGGCATGCCTTCAAATCTTGGACCAGCACCTTGCGATCGGTCAGCATCTTCATACTGCCTCACACCACAAGCTCACCCTGAGAGAAGTGAGAAATGAGGCTCCAACATTATCTGTCCAGTTACACTGGGGGCGATGGAGCAGGAGAGAGACAGAGAGAGAGAGAGTTGACCTCCACCAGTGGCAGAAAGTAGAAGGAGGCTACATATGGTGCTCAGCTTTAAGCCATGCTGGTCCTACCCACTAGTAAATAACAGCTCCATAAGTGTCTCGAATGCATCAACTGCTCCATCAATCATGTTGGTACCTAGAAAGATGGGAAAAGGGAGAACAGTCCTGTCATCCAGAAGTGAAGAGGTCCATGATGCCAGTTGGATTATGATCCCATCTGGGAAATCAGAGTGGGAGCTTCTCACCCACTGAGGTATATTTGTTTCCATGGCAGTTTAAGCTCTGTTTACGTCCAAAAGGACACGGTATCTCTCAGCGCAGCATGGCTGGACCTAGTTTTCCCAGTCACGCCAGGCTCTCAGTAGTTTAGTAGGCCAACAGCACAGGGTAAAACAGTCCCTGGGACACCACTGTCTGCTCTTCACCAGACTCACTGATGAGAAGACCTTTGGAAGGACAAAGGCGGCTGCTTCTCGCAGTGCCGGACACTTGGTTTCAAATCGTAAGAAGTCAAGCCCTTGGTCAGATCTTTCCAGACCAATATTTTCTTGGTCTAAATCAATGACATGAGCCTCTGCGTACCAGTTTCACACCATCTACTGGCAGATCACAGTGTCTACTGGTATAGGATCCAGCCTAAAGCTCCAGGGACACCTGACTGCAAATCTCTGGGAAAGCTTTTGCAAGTGACCACGACCCTTCTCTCCAGGGGACATCCACTCCCAAGTGGCCACCAATTTAAAAATCAGGAAGAGTTAGTCTTAGAGTGGACATTACTTTCGCTGTAAGATATTCTTCCTTTTCACTCTTCCCTCTCCTGCCCCTCAGCATCACCACGTGGGATGGTGAATCTTGAGAACCACGTGAGAAGCTCCCCAAACACCAATGGTTCTCAGAGTATCATCCATGGAGCATCCGTATCGCCTGGCCATTTGTTAAAAATAAAATTATAAAAAGAAGAAGGAGGAGAAGTAAAGAAATGTAAAGCCAACTCTCAAGTCCCACCCAGATGCACTGAATCTGAAACAGACTAGGATATTAACTGTGAATTTTAACTGGCTTTGCAGATGAGCCTAGTGTGTGCCCAAGGTCAAGAATCACTCCGCCATGTATCATTTCATTCAATGTTTGTAAGAAGCCAAGGATCCTAAAAAGCAAGAATTATACTTGCTTTGCAAATGAGGAAGCTGAGATTTTAAAATGAAATAGCAGCCGGCCAACATCCCCCATGGAGTGAGTGGGGCCTGACTCCTGGCCACTCTCCAACACCAGGTTCACTGTGGTCCTGCGTCCTTCTGGCTTTTCCTGGAAAACGAGGCAAGGTCAGCCTGGCTCTGGAACTTAGCACTCAGTGTTCCCTCTAATGCAATGGTTTATAACACAGCACGCTCATTAAAATCTCTTGGGAAGCTTTCACATTAAAAAACAAAAAGAAGCAACAAAAACATATTTTATTGTGAAACATTTCAAACACACCAAAGTAGACAGGACAGAATAATCAGCCTCCAGGTGAAACGGGAACTTTTCAAAAGGACCGTCCAAGCTCCACTCCAACTCCATTCAATATGGGCTCCAGTAGGGCTGAGAGATGTCCTTAGAGCTCCCCCGGCAATTCTAATGTCCTTGAGCT